AAAGGTAAAGGTTCCCTTGCTCGAAAGCCAGTCGAGTCCGACTCTAGGGTTGCGGTGCTCATCTCCGTTTCAAAGCCGAAGAGCCAGCGCTGTCCGAAGACGTCTCCGTGGTCATGTGGCCGGCATGACTAAACACCAAGGCGCACGGAACGCTGTTACCTTCCCACCGAAGTGGTACCTATTTATCTACTTGCAATTTCTTGCTTTCGAACTAGGTTGGCAGGAGTTGGAACTAGAGATGGGAGCTCACTCCATCATGCGGCACCCGGGTCTCGAACTGCTGAACTACTGACCTTCCACAGCCCGCAGTTCAGCGTCTTAACCACTTGAGCCACCGCAGCTCCTTTTACTGTATCTAGCTGTATTTTTGGATTGCTTGTAAGCTGCCCTGAGCCTGCCTTGGCAGGGAGGGCGGGATATAAATTAAAATCATCGTCATCATCTCTCTTAATTCCTAACTCCTTTCAGGAACTTGGTCTTGCCTCTGTGACTCCCACTGCCCAGCCCCTGGTCACCTCATCACGGGGACAGTTGACTGCCTTGTGCGCCCCTGGAGGAATGGCCACTTGCCAACTGCCTGCCTTCCCCCCGGTGCTCCTTTTAAGAGAGTGTGTCTGAGACGACGGAGGTCTATGTGGTACAGAGAACCACAGCCAGCACCCAAAGTTACAAAGTATTTATCGAAGAAGAAGGAGAGTGGGGAGTCACTGGTGGTGGTGGTGGTGGGCTAGGGTTGCCAGACCCCTGGTCCGGGTGGGGGACCCCCCGGTTTTCAGGGCTTCAGCCTGGCCCTGGCCAGATGGCTGGCAGGGGAAGCCCTGCCCCCAAGCCAGGCCACCTGTGGCCACCCCACTCCCTTCTCTCCAGAGAGATTTAAAGGGCCCTCCAGCTGATCGGGGGAAGCAGGGGGCTTGCCAATCAGCCAGAGGGCCTTTCTAAATCTCTCTGGAGAGAAGGGAGAGGGGCAGCCGAGGCTGCATGCCTGAACTCCCAGCAGGGATTTGTCCCTTGGAGTTGAGGCACAGAAGCATTTAAAGGGAGATTTGGGGAATGGAGCCTGGGGAGGGGAGGGGAGGGGCCTCAGCAGAGTACAGTGCCATAGAGGCCACACAGCCATTTTCTCCATGGGAACTGATCTTGGTCACCTGGAGACCAACTGTAATAGTGGGAGTTCTCCAGGTGCCACGTAGAGGTTGGCAACCCCATGTTATGGATTTCCTGGTAACTGGTCCAGCTATGAAACGTGGCTCCTTAAAGGCCCTCCAGCCTTACTGGCACCGCTGGCCTTTTGAGCACTGTTACTGTTAGCGTTGCCAATTCTGGTTTGGGAATTCCTGGAGATTTGGGTGTTTAGCCTGGGGAGGGTGTGTGTGTGTGGGGAGAGCTCAGTAGGGTATAACTCCATAGAATCCACCTCTGGAGCAACCGTACTCTCCAGGGGAACTGGTTTATGTAGTCTGGAGAGCAGTTGTGATTCTGGGAGATCTCCAGGCTGCACCTGGAGGTTGGCAACCCTTGTTGCTGTTCTGGGGCCTGCCTGCTTCTTCTCAGGGTGCAGCAGGGGAGGAATCACGCCACCGGACCCCTCTGCTGGCCTCGGTAAGTACGTGGGTGGGTTCCCCAATCCCTGGCAAAATGTTGAACAAGAGTGCTGCTGTTCTCTGCTGCAAGAGGCCCCCAATTCAGATCTGGACCATGGTGTGAGAGGAGAAAGGAATGAACCTATGCAGTGCTGGGGAGTTCAGTGGATGGATCTTTTTTGTTGTTGTTGTTCAGTCGCACAGTCAAGTCCGACTCTTTGTGACCCCATGGACCAGATCACGCCAGGCCTTCCTGCTTCCGCCGTCCTCTGAAGTTGGCTCAATTTCATGTTCGTTGCATCTATGACACTGTCTAACCATCTCATCCTTTGCCGTCCCCGTCTTCTTTGACCTTCAATCTTTCCCAGCACCAGGGTCTTCTCCAGTGAGTGCTCCCTTCTCATTTGGTGGCCAAAGTATTTGAGCTTCAGTTTCATTATGTGGCCTTCCAGGGAACAGTCAGGGTTGATTTCTTTTAGGATTGACTGCTTTGATCTAGTCCAACTCTCGCAGCCATACATGACTACTGGGAATACCATTGCTTGGACCATGCGTATTTTTGTTGGCAGGGTGATGTCTCTACTTTTTATCATGCTGTTTAGGTTCGCCATCGCTTTCCTCCCAAGGAGCAGGCGTCTTTTAATTTCATGGCTGCAGTCACAGTCTGCGGTGATCTGGGATCCCAGGAATGTGAAGTCTGTCACTACTTCCACGACTTCCCCTTCTATTTGCCAAGGAGTGATGGGGCCGGATGCCATGATCTTAGTTTTTTTGATGTTGAGCTTCAAGCCCACTTTTGCACTCTCCTCTTTCACTCTGAGCAAGAGGCTCTTAAGATCCTTTTCACTTTCTGCCATTAGAGTGGTATCGTCTGCATATCTGAGGTTGTTGATCTTTTCCCCAGCAATCTTACCAGCATATTTTTAAACACCAATTAAGAAGGATGCCAGCCTCCAGGTGGGACCTGAGGACCCCCTGGAATTACAGTTCATCTTGACGACAGAGATCAGTTTCCATGGGGAAAAATGAAGCTTTGTAGGGTGGGCTCTGTGGCCTTCTACCCCACTGAGGTCCCTGCCCTCCCCAGGCTCCATCCCCAAATTTCCAGGAGTTCCCTAACCTGGAACTGTCAACCTTATCTCTCCACCCCCCACAGCTGGTCCGGGGGACCTGGCAATCCTCATGAAGGGCAACCAGTTGGGCCCAGTTAAAATGAAGGAAAGGAAGGTCACCTTCCCCCCATGATGAAGCAAGGAAAAAGAAATGGTTGCCATTTCCCTCTACAGAGCTCTCGCCAATGCTCCCTCTAAACTGTGGAGTCTTGTGAGCAAAAATTCTACTTTGTGAGCTACTGGCATTAAAGTTGTGAGTGAGCGAGCAATTTGGCTGCTGCATAAATTAGTTTGCTCTGGAGCCATCACTCCTGAGCGAAGACAAGAATGTATGAGCTGGAGGCTAAAGAACTGTGAGCTGGCTCACACTGACTCGGCTTAGAGGGAACACTGGTGCGCACGTAATCCAGGAATTTCCCTTTTCAAAAGGCAAAGATGTTTGAAAATCAGCCCCATTCGGGTTATGGATTTATGACAGTATCAGCATCTCATGAATTTTTTTACAAAAACCCAACCCTCACACAGTGGTATTTCTCTCAGTTATGGCTCAACTTGCCTCTGGTCCCGGCACTGGTGACTGCAGTTTAAACTAGCGCAGCGTCACCTTGGCATTGGCCGCCTCTGTCTCTCCGCTTTGACATTTCCCCATGACTGCTCTAGCAAAGTTCATTCCTGCAGCTCACGTTATATTACTGGGCTGTTTGCCCGCCCACACCTGGCAAGGAATCTGGTCCAGCCGGTCTGAGTTAGCCATGTGATGTAGAGTCAACTCTGGTTACAAGCTTATTTTGCCAGGTCAATATTTGCAAGAGCTCGAGGGAGGGAAGTTTCCTTCCTTTCTTTTTTTTTCTCTTTTGGTTTTCAGCAGCTGACGCAAAAGTTCCCAAACTTCCTTCAAATCCACGTAAAAGCCGATGGGTGTGTTCCACCTGCTTCTTCCTCCACCGATGAGTCCAGCTTCGAGAGGAGGTGAATATGAAGGACAGGCTAGAGGAGCTGAAGAACCGAGTTAACGAAGATGGGGACTCTCTGGAACTGGAGGAGACCCTTTCCTTCGACAACCCCATCTTCAACGAGGGAGAGAGCAACCCCATGAGCAAAGTTTTCCAGGAAGTCACCAGCCTCTCCTTGGCTCTGGATAAGCTGCAGGAATTATCCGAGGACATCGACAGGAGGCAGCAGCAGGTCCTGTGCTGTACCACCGAGGAGAGCATCTGCCGAGAGAAGAAAGAGCTGAGCCAGATCAAAAATGATTTCACCAAGGAGGCCAAAACCATCCAGCCAAGGCTCAACAGCATCCGGGAGACTCCGGCCAAGGGCGGTGAGCAGCAGTTGGCCATCAGCCGCATCCGCCACAGCCAACTCTTGGTCCTGATTGGCCGCTACCGCGACATCGTCACCGCCCATTATGCCAAGGAGACCCAATATGTGGAGAAGCTGAAGGAGCAGATCCGAAGACAGACAGAACTGGCCGGCTTGAGCTTGCGGGAGGAGGACATCAGGCAGCTGGTGGAGAGTCCGGTGGCACCACGCATCGTCGGCCAAGACCTGGAAGTGCTCAAAGCCAAGCAACACCTGGCCATGGCTCAAGTGCGCCACCAACAGCTGCTCGACTTGGAAGCTCAGATTACGGAACTTCACTCCCTCTTCTTGCACATGGAGGTCTTGATAGCTGAACAGCAGGAGACCATCGACAGCATTGAGTACAACGTCTTGCACACCCTCGACTACATCTCCCAGTCCAATGAGGAGGTCAAGAAAGCGCTCAAATATGAGCGGCAGTCCCGGTTTTCTGCTGCATTTTCTGCACTGCTGGGACTCTGCGCTTGTTGCACATGCCTATCATGTATGGCCACCCCAAGCATAGTACGGTGAGCGAAAGATGGGGACAAGTCTATGGCTGAAAACACGCTGGACACTTTGACGTGCATGAAAATATGGATTGGCCCAGCAGAGACGTTTGGGATGGATGCCTTTCCATATTGAAAGATGGTCTTATTATTATTGTTATTATTATTGTTGCTTTTAAAGAAAAAACTTCTTGTCTTCACCTTATCATCCTTGGGTTTCTACTGGCGCTCTTAGCAATGATTCTGTGATGGTGATAACACAGTTTTCTTCTAGCGTATCCTTAGGATGAACTGGCAAGTGGAATTTGTAAAAAAGGATGGCGCTGAAGCGTAGTCTTGCTCAGAGGCCAAGCCTTGTAATGAAGACTTTGAAATCCCAGAGGTGTCTCCGATGGCCAACGACTACCCAGCTCAGAGGGAAAGACTCTTTGTATATGCTCTGAGGCACTCTCTTTTCAATTACACCTTTGTGTGTTCCAGACCTAGCACTGAAAACCTGAAACCTTGATGCATCCCGGTTAAACTCTGGGGATTACTGTAATACGGTTTAGCCGAAAGGAAGTACCCAGCATTTGGGATCCAATTCTAACCTACGTTTCCAAAGTTCTGCTTTCTTTTTGTTGCTGCTAACACTTGTGGTTCGTGCTTACTATATTCCATTCAAAGAAACCAAGGTCCTTTTTTTTCCCAGTTGAGAAAGAGGTCATTGTACCATTTTAAAACAATTCTGTTTGCTCAGTGCTAACTTTATTTATTTCCTGAACATTTTAATACAAGGTAGATTGTTATCTTTTATGGCTGGGTTTTGTCCTCCGCGTTCGGGATTTCCAGTGGCTTCTAATCTGACTATCCTCTTTCTTTCGAACGGCCCGCAGTATGAATTATGAATGTTATAAGTTTACATAAAAATTTTGTTAAAACTTTCCCCCCATGTCCTGTTTCAAATCAGCTTAGGGTTCCGCGTTGTGTTTGCGTTTTTAGAATGTTTCTGTTGTGGCAGACAAAAAGCAACATCCGTGGCCCCAAGCCCTGTGACCCAAGGGAGGGGCGGGGTATAAGTCTAAAAATAAATAAGATAAATAAAGACCCACAGATGCTGCAGGTGTAGCGCTGAATTGCACGCTTGCTGCTTTTTGCAAAGACTGCCTCATTTATCGCATGTCCTTGCTGTCAGTAGCCCTCCTCAGAATCGGAATCCCTTGTTACTGTCCAGGGTTGCCAGTCTCCAGGTGGGGCCAGGAGATCTCTCGTAATGACAACTGATCTCTAAACTATAGAGATGAATGTCGAACCCTATAGTAATAGGTAGAACTATTAGTATATGCTATTGCAGAGTGACTGAGAAAATGCATAATGACAAAAAAGCAGCTATGAATTCAGTAACGCTTTCAAATGAATTTGTATTAAGCACAATGGCATCTGTGTCCATTTGAAGAAAGGTAATTCTTACATATGTGTGCCAGACCTATGCTTTGCTCAGTCTCCAGAAGGTATGTTTGCTTATTTATTATACCAATGCTGTTTTGCAGTTTCCAGAGATTGGAGGTTGGGTTAAAGGGTAGACCGTACGGACCAATGACTTGACAGGGTATAAGAAAGCTTTCTACGTTGTTTGTGTCGTTTGGAGTTACTGGCATAGCTGCCTAGCGTGACCCCCGTGCGGCTCAGCTGACATGCACAATGAGCTTTCTGTCCTTGACAGAACAATTGGTGGATGCTTATTTATTTTCATTTCAACCCTGCTCTCCAGCATTAAATTGGCTTCCGAATGAGCTCATCGGTATGGGAATCACACACCAATAGTATTAAAGGGCAATGGAGACAATTCCACAATTCCTTGTGGAGACAGTTCTCAATTGTGTGGGATACAGGCGTGACCCAGGGGTGCCTGTATGTTGCTTCCCCCGACACGGCCTTAGTGGTGGCCCTTGGGGAAGGGGGGCCTCCTCTCCGGAATCTGCTCCCAGATCTCTGGCCAAGTCTCTTGAACTGGAGATCTTTTCCACAGCTGGTAATGTAGGGACTCCTAATCCAGGTGGCAACATTGATGAGAGAGGTCCAGTGGTGCCTGAATGAGTAAAATAATAATAGTAATCCAGCATCGGCTTTCTTAAGCCAGAGCTCATTTCAGATCCATGGACTGTTTGGGGGTGACCACTCCTCCCTCCCACTTTGCAGTTTACACTGGGATGGTCAAGAGGGAGACGCCACATCCCTGGGCCTTCGTGGGCTGGCAGAGATGTGGGAGGGAGCAGGGAAGCCAACTGAGGGGCCTCCAAGGAAGCCGCCGGACCAACAGCAGCTCCTTCAATGGCTGCAGCCCACACCTCTGTTCAACGCACAGGCATTTCAGTTTGGTGAAAGCCAGTTTAGTGTAGTGGTTAGCAGGGGTCATTTCGTAGGAAAAGAGGTGCAGGAGCTCTTTAGCATAACTCATTAGCATAACCTATTTGCATATGCCACACCCCCTGACATCACCGGAAGGTTGTCAGAAGGCAACACCCACTGCTCAGGCTCCACTGGACTCTTTTGGATTGCTAGCTATGGGGGGGGAGGTGGCGGGGAACGTGCAGATCTGTCCTGGCAGAGGAGGGAGAGCTTGTACCTGAATAGAACCTGGTCTATTTTGGACTGTTTTGGACCAGGGGTGGGGTGAGGTGGGGGCTCTACAACTTACCTGGCTGCTTCTTGATCTGACTGAGGGCTGCTGGGAGCAGGGGGTCGGGCTTGTTGGATGTGCCCGCCCCCTGGGCTCTTTACTGCCAGAGCTCCGCTCCTGTGTGCTCCTGCAGGAAATGACTCCTGGTGGTTAGGAGTGCAGACTCTAATCTGGGAGAACCAGGTTTGATTCCCCACTCCTCCCCATGCAGCTGCTGGGGTGACCTTGGGTCAGTCACAAGTTCTTTCAGAGCTGTTCTCTCACCAGCAGTTCTTGAAAGAGCTCTCTCAGCCCCATCTACCTCACAGGGTGTCTGTTGTGGGGAGGGGAA